TGCAGTGTGTGTGTGTGTCAGGGGTGCAGTGTGTGTGTGTGTGTGTGTGTGTGTGTGTGTGTGTGTGAGTGTCAGTGGTGCAGTGTGTGTGTGTGTGTGAGTGAGTGAGTGTCAGGGGTGCAGTGCGTGTGTGTGCTGTGAGTGTCAGGGGTGCAGTGTGTGTGTGTGTGTGTGAGTGAGTGTCAGGAGTGCAGTGTGTGTGAGTGTGTGTGCTGTGTCAGGGGTGCAGTGTGTGTGTGTGTGTGCTGTGAGTGTCAGGGGTGCAGTGTGTGTGTGTGTGTGTGTGTGTGAGTGTGGGTGCTGTGAGTGTTAGGGGTGTCTGTGAGGCTGATGTGAGTTAGATGATTATTTCCCCCCTCCCTGCTTACCTTTAGCCTGGGAGGGTGGGTGGGAGGGATCCTGCTGCTGGGGCTGCCATCCATCCCTGGTGGTCCTAATGGTGAGTGAACTCTAGCCTGTGAGGCTAGAGTTCACTCTCGCGAGACCCGGAGCGTTGCCCTCCCTCTCTCCCCCGGCGGCCGCACTATCCTGCATGTGGGCCGGTGAGGGAGATCTCGGGTAGCGTTAGCCCTGCACAGACCGGCAGGGGAGATCCGATGGCCAGTCCGGGCCTGCTAAGAGTAGACTGGACACATTTATGTCTGCCAGGCCACTCAGAGGAAGGCTCTATCTTTTATGCCCCTTATCCTTTTTTGTTTTACTGTTTATTATGCAAAGCATTTCAGCTCAAAATTTTATTTTTCGCCTCTGACTTACTATATATAGACAGTTATATCAGGTTATTACTAAAGCTGTATAATATTTTTATCCCCCCAGCGCCATACACTCTATTGTTATTCTCACATAGACTGCTATCTGTCTTGCTCCAGACGTTCCTTACATCATTAATCTACAGTGCCTTGCAAAAGTATTCACCCCCCCTTGGCATTTTTCGTGTTTTGTTGCCTCATAACCTGAAATTAACATGGATTGTTTGAGGATTTATATCATTTAATTTACAGAACATGCCCACAACTTTGAAGATTTTTTTTTTTTTTTTTTATTGTGAAGCAAACAACAAATAGGAAAATAGGAACAAATAACAGAAAAAGTCAATGTGCATAACTATTCACCCCCCTAAAGTCAATACTTTGTAGAGCCACCTTTTGCGCCAATCACAGCTCCAAGTCGCATTGGATAAGCCACATCTTACCATTGGGATTTTTGCACACTCCTCCTTGCAAAACTGCTCCAGCTCCTTCAAGTTGGATGGTTTGCGCTTGTGAACAGCAATCTTTAAGTCTGACCACAGATTTTCTATTGGATTGAGGTCTGGGCTTTGACTAGGCCATTCCAACACATTGACATGTTTCCCCTTAAACCACTCAAGTGTTGCTTTAGCAGTCTGGTTGGGGTCATTGTCCTGCTGGAAGGTGAACTTCTGTCCTTGCCTCAAATTATGTACAGAGTGGTACAGGTTTTGCTCAAGCATATCCCTGTACCATCCATCTTTCCCTCAACTCTGACCAGTTTCCCAGTCCTGGCTGCTGAAAAGCATTAGGCAAACAGCATAATAGTATTATTCTCTGAGGTATATACACTTTATTGGTATTCTCATATAGGCTGCTACAGGTCTTGCTCTAGATTTATTGTATAGGCAGCGCTCTAACTAATTTACCTAGCTACCCGTGTGCTATCTAACTCTAATGCATATGATTGTCTGCTCAATAAACTTTGAATTAAAAAATAAATAAATAATTAAAATTGTGTAAATGCACAAACATGATTTTGATAAGTCTTCCTTAAAAGCAATTTATGCATAACATTTTTTTAACCTAGCTACCTACTCTATGTATTAAAAATATGTCATGCCATTAAGAAAAAGAAGTTGAATAGCGACATACATTTAATTAAGTTAATGCATTTACATAAATTTTTTCCATTATGCATTTGATTTTTGATTTGCTTTACACTTCAGCCTTTTGTCCACAGGTTACCTAAACTTTTGAGGAATATTTAAAAACAGAAAAGAAACATTAACTAAAAAAAAAAAAATGTGAAAAATAAACAACCCATAGTTGATCTTTGGGATTTGGCCTCTCTGTCATGCGTGCCAGATTGTTTTTCAGCTGCTTCCCACTTGGCGTCATGTTGCTATCGACTATCAAGCTTGCTTCGTCAAGCAGAAACTTAGCTTGGTTACCGAGTTAGCATGCCATGTAGCTACATGTATTTATTTACAGCTTGGACTAGAGTAACACCAACAATCCATCAAATACTAACATAACGCTCATTTCTAAACCACATTTAATGATGATGAGTTATGAAATATGATAATATATACATGTGAACAGAAACCTTAAATCAGAATTCTACTCCATTTTTATTAGGATATATTCTACGAATAAATGTTTAAAGTACAAACATGTATTCCTAACACTATAGTGATCTAGAGGCGATTTAGATTGTGCCCCCATTAAATAAATAGATATACTTATGTTTTTGCCCACGTGGCGCTGTCTCACCATGGCTGACACTTCTGGCTGAGATCATCATTACATATTATCTCAGCCAATCCAATGCTTCACCATAGAGAAGCATTGGGAGGAAGATAGTATGCATGCTGGTCAATCACTACGCTTCACCAATCAGCCATCTCCTCTTAGAGATGCTTTAGATCAGTGCATCTATATAGGGAGCATTTCGAATCTTCATGCAAAGTGTGAAGATGCCAAATGTAGGTCCTGTAATCATTGTAGGACTGCACCAGAAAGGACTAATTACAGCTATAAGAAGTGGTCTTGGAAACCCCCCAAAAATCTCGCATTTACTACATTAAGCAGTAGAGGATTGGTTGCCTAGTATCCTTTTAAGAAATTTTAACATGTAAAATATATCTTTTAAAGGGAAACTATAGTGCTAGGAATACAAAGCTGTATAGTGCCAAACTCCCTTGCGCCGCCCTGTGATCTGTCCTCCTGCATCAGCAAACCCACTTAGCTCATAAATGACTTTAATATATTGATGAAATTGATTTTGCTATGACAGAAGAGGAACTTTCACCTTATCAATTCCAGTGAGACAGAGTTCAGTCACACAGAACTGGGATACCCATAAGGTGTGCCCCTGTCTGGACCTGAAGCTCTGACTCTGGCCATAAGGTAGTACTCCCAGAACTGTCAGGAAGATCAAAAGATCTCTCTGCTCGAACCTAAACTCCATCATCTGCTCAAGGGAGCATTTTGGTCTGCACCAATATCAGGTACAGATCCCTTTTTATTATTATTATGGTTGTTACATTAGTACCTGTAACTGATCCCCTATACTCCAACTGAGTATATCCACTGTAGTTCTACCAAATCCCCAGTGAAGCAGTGATTATAAGTGTGAATATAGCTCCCAATCCCCCAAACATGAGCCTAGACTTCATGAAGGGGTAAGATGGCCTGCTTTTATGCAGTACAAGGACACAGAAAACACGCCCATGACACTCCCACACAAAACAGGGTAATCCCTCGCCTGTGCTTGAGAGATAATTGAGTCAGGAACTGTACAAACTCAAATATCTCCAGGCACAGAAAAACATACAATTTACAAACACCCCAAAAGTACCTTCAAAACACATGAAAACCCCACATAGCATCCCCTGATAGCCCCAATCTGTGTGACCAACATATCCAAAAATCACCCATATCGGTTCAGGGGTTCAAAAATTCCATGGAAGTCAATTATTTGACCGTCCGTGCACATTAAATCAGGGCTAGCGGTCGGTTAACTTTGGTAACATAAAAATTAAGTTTTAACGGATTCCCGAACTGAGGAAGAGAATGGTTCCTGGGAAGGCAAAATAGGGGTTTTGTCACATAGTTCCCACTCAGTTCCATGGGACGGCATACCCACCTAGACCCCAACGGGTTGGCTTGGGCTGTCAGGTCAAGTTGATTATTTTTCTAGCTCTGGAAAGTGCGAACCAGGGACACCCAGGGCAAGCCACTATTGGCAGTTGGGGAGATTTAACTCCCAAACAGGGTCTTTGTATATGGCCCATAGTCAGTGGGTAGGAGGCTAGCATCCACACTCCTCCAGCATCCCGTGGCGAACGTCCAGGCAGAGGGGCGTTCTTCACAGTACCTACCTTCAACTGCTTGCTCCAGATTTTACACAATTGTAACACCCAACCTCTGGTCCCACCTTGCTGCACCCACTCTCTGTTGGGATATGCCCTGCTTGGGACATGTATAGCAATCCGGAAAGAACATCGGTCTAAGACTATTGCATTTTTCTCCCTGGAAGCATGAAAAACTATGATTGATAGTAGCTGAACCACCTGTACAAACGTTCTCCTGCTCTCCAATACAGCGGGTGGCTGGCTTCATTTAGCCTGGGGCTCAACTACAAACAACTAGCCCAACTTGAGGCTTAACCATGCCTCACTAGATCCCACAAGCTTTACAAATATATATAATTATAAACATATTAAATGTTTTGAACCTATTCTGCAAAAAAATGATTACAATAAAAAGAAAAGAATATGTTTAATGTAAAATATTTAGTATTGTGCTGTGACACAGCTGCTCACAAGCTTCCCTATTGTAGTCGCCCAGGGAGAGAATGCCCTCTGTCTCTCTTGCCAACTCTCCCCTGTTACAATGTAAGCCAACCCTAAGCAAAGACCTCCTTGCAGCGGTAATATTGATAATTGATTGACGTTTGTGTGGGTGTGTTTAAATAAACTATTAAAACAATCTATACATCTACTAGCACAAGTTTAAATTATTGGCAAATATATAAAACTAACTTATTCTGCAGCAATTTGCAAATTTAATGAGGCACATTACAGCAAATAAGACAAACTATTACAAATGTTAACAGGAACATGAGTTTAATGAGGACTTGGCCGAACAAGCATTAAATCTAAGGTTGAGATAAATGATTCTTTGTATTACCAGTTTTTTCAGAAGTTGTGTCTACTAACAGGTACCACTTAAACATAGTGATTAGATCTCTAAATTATTGTAGGTCATATTTTTACACAAAGCAGGTGATATAGACAGAGCGCATTAATTTGCAATTCTGTGAAACAGGAATCAAGAGACAGGAAGCAGAAAAAAAACTAAAACGGAAATCAGAGGTGCTTGAAAGGTGACAGTTCTCTCACTTGTATTTTGACATCCTCTAACATAAGAGAATGTGCATATACTATAGAAAACCAGTTAGAATGTTTCACAAATGTTTTTTACAGCAGCCAGTTGAGTAAAGTAGATAGAAAACATTTTTAAGATTGGGTGACTGCCTTTAATTGATGAAGCTGTAGTTGCTCAAATACAAAAAGGCAAAAAACAGAAATGGGTTCAGAGACCCAGTTATCTCCAAGATCAGTGATTACTTTATTAATTTTGTTCCCCATGACTTTTCCCTGAGTATTCTTACCCCAACTAGTGGCAATACAAGCAATCTGTTTGCTTGCAATCTCACTGCAAACATGTCTGGTTCTTTCAAAATGGCGGAAGCTTCCGAGCCATCCCACAAAACGAATATGTTATGGGTCAAAACGGACTTTAAAGAACACAAAGCCACCACTGAGAGCTTCTAGTCAAGCTTCCAGGATTTCTGCATGGACCTGTCACACATTACTGCAAAAAAAAAACCAAAAATAAAGAAAGTCACACACCAGACATATGTAGATAGGATAATTTTAATCAACCAAGGGTGGACCCGGCAACATTTCGACCTGGGTTCAACACAAAAAATTGCTGCTTAAATATTAAAAATACTCAAATGAAATTGCATACACCTCCCAAAGGAGGAGTTACAAATGAGTGCAATTAACACAATGTGTACAAAGTGTCAGTATTTACAAAATGGAAAAGAGCAAAACATATTAAAAATACAATATGTGCAAATGTACATATGAAAAAACTAAGCAAGTACATATGGAAATATATGTATTCTTCCTAATGTATCAAGTAAATGAGCGCAGAAGCATCATGTAATATACAAATTGCAAAAGAAAGGATTCCAGGGGGAAACAACACCCCTGGAGTCACAGGTAGGAAGTCCCTCAAAAGTCCACATATGTATAGTTAAAACATAACTTTTCTTGATCACTATAAATAAAATTATAAATACTAAAAGAACCGAAAGTAAAATAAGATGGATACAGACAGGAAATATAATGATGAAAAAATCACCTATACATAGGAGAGTTATCCTAAAACTATAATCACTAAAGAAACCAATACCATCATGGAAAATAACTCGTATCCTATATACAGGTGCCGTAATAAGATAAAGTAGGACAGACTAACGTGCATTGGGAGTATATAACCTATATTAATAACGCATGTAGATAAAAATCTACAGCTACCCAAATGCCTCCACTAGGATCCTATATACTTAGATTGGGTCGTGTATCCTACTAAGTGAATGTAGCAACCGGTAGATACAAATAACAAAACATTATATAATGAATAGGAAGCCCTTATGTCTTTGTAACATCTTATAATAATGTTATAATCCTTCCACTTCTCTGAGTCACAGCATTAATACAACCCTGGTTGTCTGAAGAAAATGGCACCTAATACTGCTTAAAGAGGACATAAGGATCTAAGGGGATAACTGTAAAGGGGGAGGGGGAATACTAATTCTACAGAGAAACCCTGCAAAAGCTCCCTTCCACCCTCTCAGATCCCCGTGAAGCCAAATATGACACACCCCTGAATTACGGAAAAATAATAAAATAAATAAATTCCTGTCTGTTCTAGCTCGTTAGTATAGTGGTGAGTATCCACGCCTAGGCAGCTAGAACAGACAGGAATTTATTTATTGCAGAGCTTTTGCAGGGTTAGTTATCCCCTTAGACCCTTATTTCCTCTTTAAGCAGTATTAGGTGCCATTTTCTTCAGACAACCAGGGTTGTATTAATGCTGTGACTCAGAGAAGTGGAAGGATTATAACATTATTATAAGATGTTACAAAGACATAAGGGCTTCCTATTCATTATATAATGTTTTGTTATTTGTATCTACCGGTTGCTAAATTCACTTAAACCACATTTAGTAGGATACACGACCCAATCTAAGTATATAGGATCCTAGTGGAGGCATTTGGGTAGCTCTAGATTTTTATCTACATGTGTTATTAATATAGGTTATATTCCCCCAATGCACGTTAGTCTGTCCTACTTTATCTTATTACGGCACCTGTATATAGGATACAAGTTATTTTCCACGATGGTATTGGTTTCTTTAGTGATTATAGTTTTAGGATCTCTCCTATGTATAGGTGATTTTTTCATCATTATATTTCCTGTCTGTATCCATTTTATTTTACTTTTGGTTCTTTCATTATTTATAATTTTATTTATAGTGATCAATAAAAGTTATGTTTTAACTATACATATGTAGACTTTTGAGGGACTTCCTACCTGTGACTCCAGGGGTGTTGTTTCCCCCTGGAATCCTTTCTTTTGTAATTAACACGTTAAGTGAGGGTTAACCCCTGTTTGGTCATCCCTGATACACATTAAGCTAGCCCCCTCCGGGGTGTTAGTTTTCTTCTTTTTAATATAAAAATTGGCTAACATAAAAATATATTCCTAGCATTATATAACAAAAACAGGATACAATTGAGAAAGATACTTGTGTTAACTGCATCCTAAAAATTCATACCAGAGATAGCAGAGTATGGCTAATACAATTAACCCCTTAAAGACTGAGGTAGTTGTACAAGTTCAGATCAAAACAAAATGGAAACAAAACTTTGAATTTTTATTAAAGGACACGGAGGCTCATATGATGTTTATCTCTTTGTTATTCCTCAGCACCAAAGAAAGGATATAAGATATTCATAGAAAAAAAAAAAAAGTACCCTGAGGGGTTAATCATGGCATCATCGCATCTTAGCCAATGAGAGCAGTCCACATTGCAATATCATCCCATGTGACCTTAGACACTCCTCTTTCTTTGCTGCTGCCTCAGCATATTTTTACTATATTGTGTTTTTCTTGTTCTTGATTCACTTTATTTTTTGTTTTTGTGTTTCTAAGTGTACAGGGCCCTCTGTTGTTGTTTTGTCATTTTACTTTCTCCTTCTCCGGGTTTCCTGTCCCCCACGGCGGCTAACCCCCTTTCCTCTCACTTTTTTTCAGGTAGTTTTTTACCCACGCGCGTTCCGGTCGTGGTGCCCCGGCCTCCCGGGCTCAGGGCACCTCTCAGGAACTGTTTGTTCCGGCGCGGCTTATTCCGCGACCGGAGCCGCTCATGCATGCGCAGTCGTGGTGGCCATATTGACTGTGGCAAAGAGTTTTGCCATGCTTTTCCCGGCTCGCGCTGCACATTTAGGGGTGGGCGCGAGCTGATTGGATGCTTACAGTGCCAGACAGCTTACCAGTGCTTCCCTGAAGCTATTCCAGAGGGAACACTCAGAAGGTGACAGCAATTTTTGTATTGTGCTTTGCCCTGTCATTTCTTGCCTGTCACTGCAGTATTTGAGTTTCCTCAGACACTGGTGAAGGAATCGGGCACCTATGTTAGCACCTTTACGGTACTGGACAAGGCACAAACAAACATGAAGAGAGTGTTCTCTCCCAAGGTTTTTAGTGGGGCCGGCAGACATCAGGGCCGTCTGTCCGGTCATCCCTCCCAGGGCTCCTACCGGGGCTACCAAGGCTCCGCCATGCCTAGGTTTCAACAAACGAAGACCAATTCCCCTTCACTTTCTTCCCAGTCAGAGGTAGATCATGGCAGTCCAGAAGGACCAGGGGCACCACGTATGGCCGACGGCCTTATGGTAGGTGCTCTACCATTCCCTCCTCTTTGTATGTCATATGTGGGGGGCAGACTACCCCATTTTATCGAAGCTTGGCACAGACTAACATTGGATGTTTGGGTCCTAAATACCATTCTAGGTTATTGGATAGAGTTTGTGCAAACCCCAATCCAAACCTCAGTGCCACGTTGGATGGTGTTTTCCCAACAGGACAGGGACCTAGTAGTGAAGGAAATCAGAGTACTACAAGGGAAAGGCGTGATCTACCAAGTTCTGCCTTGCTCTCCCGGTTTCCTGAGCAACCTCTTCTTTATGCCCAAAAAGGGCGGTGGTGAGAGGCCGGTTATAAACTGCCTTCGGGACCTCCTCAGGTTGGATGGTCAAACTCGACCTCTCACTATCCCGATAGCAGAGGAGTGTCACCAACTCCTTCAGTTTCAATGAGACAAGAGAACGTGGAGGTTCCGGTGTCTCCCCTTTGGGCTGTCGTCTGCCCCATTCACCAAGCTGCTGAAACCCGTGGTCGCCCTCCTGCACAGCAGAGTTGTCCGCATAATCATATACTTAGACGATATGCTGATCATGGCACACAATGCTCACCTACAACGACAGCACCTCTCATGAGCATTATCCTTCCTGAACAACTTAGGATTCCTGATCAACTGGGAAAAGTCAGTACTAAATCCCTCCCAGTCTATGGAATTCTTGGGATTCAGCATAGAGGCGGTAGACGGGATCCTCAGCCTTTCGCCCGCAAAGGTCAAACTCATCAAGAAGAAAATCCATAGGACCTTGGCTCGCCCAGTGTTAACCTTGAGACAACTGTCCAGGATAATCGGCCTCTTCTGAGCCTCCAACCATCTTCCCGGGGCCTCTTCACTACAGGGCCCTTCAAAGACTACAGGCCACACAATTACGCTTTGGTCGCTCCTTCTCTGACTCCGTTCCACTCGACTACACAGCCAAGGAGGAACTCACCTGGTGGCTGCAACATATAGAACGGCAGAGCGATCTTTGGGACCGCCGTGGATTGTATCATAGAATCCGACGTGAGCACACGCGGTTGGGGAACGAATTGTGGTTCTATCTCCACAGGTGTAAAATGGTCCCAATCAGAAAAAGAGCTGTACATCAACGGCCTGGAACTCATGGCGGAATCATTCGCCCTAAAGAACCTCATCGGTCTCGCGACCAATTGCTCCATTATTCTGCGAGTGGACAATATATCGGCAGTCCGTTACACCAACCACCTGGGCTGCACTAGATCCAAGATACTGGCGGACCTAGCCACGGAATTCTGGCAATATTGTCTGGAGCGCAATATATATTTTTAAGCAGAATACATTCCAGGTCTGTCCAATACAAGACCAGATTGGAATTCCAGACATCTACGAGTTACCAGCGACTGGAGTCTGGACCGTGATGCCTTCCTACAACTGCAAACGCTCTGGGGCCCAATGTATATCGACATGTTCGCGGCTCTATAGAATTCCCAACTCCTGGTGTTCTTCAGTTGGAGGCCGGACATAGATGCTCTAGCAATAGATGCCTTCCTCCAGTCGTGGCCAGACAGGCGACTTTATGCATTTCCTCCTTTCGCCCTACTGGCTAAGACATTAGTACACCTCAGCCGTTCTCGGATGTCTTTGGTTCTCATAACCCCATTCTGGACAGCACAGCCTTGGTTCCCCTCACTCATGGAGATGTCTATAGATGTTCCCAGACTGCTCCCCGAATCAACGCATCTCCTATTGGATCCCGATGGAAACCACACCCTCTTCTGGTACAGGGACAACTCAGATTAGCGTGGCTCCTCTCCGGGGACCCTGGGTCGTGCCAGACGTGTCACAATCAACTCTCAAATTACTGGGAGCCTGGGCCCCTGGAACAAGACGATCCTACGGTCATTTATGGAACTTATGGAGTTTTGAACTTATATGAACTTATATGATTCCGTATGTGCTCCTGTGAACTGCCTATTGCGTTTCCTTACGTACCTATACAACCAAGGTCTGGCCTATCGCACTATTAATGTCGAGACATCGTGAACTAGAGGGCTCTCCAGCAGTTAAACATCTTCTGGTGTGTCGACTCCTACGTGGCATTAGATTTGCATGACCACCTCAACCTCGATATAAGTCAGCATGGGATGTGAACCTGGTTCTGACCTTACTAGAAACCTGGCCACGGAATGCAGACCTCACATTTAAACAGCTATCAGCAAAATTGTCCATGCTCCTCTGTCTGATATCATGCAAACGTGTTTCAGATGTCCGGGCATTGGACATTGACGCACGCTCCTTCACCCCTGCGGGAGTTTCCTTCAACAATTCCAGACATACTAAAAAATCGATTACTTCAGTTTTCAATCCCTTGTCTCAGGGAATACAAGAAACGAACTCAGGCATTTTGAGACCCACCACACCACTGGGTTGTTCCTGGCTATTAAATTAGCTCTATCTATGGTGACTCTAGCCCGCTGGGTGAAATGGATAATGGCTTCGGCTCACATAGATACCTCCGTATACAGCGCACATTTTACTAGAGGGGCCATGGCTTCTAAGATTTTTGACTTTTGATGTGTCAGGGTCTTACCTGAGTTGGGAGTCTGTAGCGCAGATAAATTGCTCACCCTTGCAAATAGCCACAGGCCAAGGTGGTCAGGTAAGAATTCACCTGGCCTGTGGATCTGTGCACGGGGGCTGTGCAGGATGAAGTTCCAAAACGCAGCACAGGCAAGGACTCAAACAGCAGGATAGTCAAGGGATAGTCGAGGTCAAAGGATGCAAGAGGACAGGAACAACGAGGACTAGCCGGAGTCAAGGGATGCCAGAGGTCAGAGTAAACGATACCAGGAGCCATGGTCAATATGAAGCAGAGAGTCAATAGACAGGAACACTGGTAGGGAACACACAGAACAGGATCAAAAGACTTGATCCAGATCACAGGGCGAGGCTGAGTTTATATACCCTGCTGATATCTGATTAGGATCAGGTGAAGCACGGCTATCAACAAGGGCCATCCCCCAGTGCTGCAGACAAGCCAGGATCAATAGAACTGAAATAGCTGGTAAGAAACAAAGCTACTGTGGTTCAGTGGTAGGAAGCAGGACTGCCAAGTACCCAGGTTCGAATCCTGACAGGATGTAAGCCTGAAGACCTTCAGAGAATAGCAGATTGGTCTTGCGAATCTAAGTTCAGGGAGTATTATTTTTACCCTACAGAATATGAATCATCGGTAGTTATTTCACAGCTTCAAACCAGCATATGAGCCTCCGTGTCCTTTAATAAAGTTACCAGATTTTACTAATTACATAATGTAAAGTCATGATTTCATAAAGAACACGGAAAAACTTGGTAAATCATAGGGATTAATATTTTATGTCTGTTTTCTTTTTGTCAGTGGGTTAATTTCTCGAAGTAGTATGCGAAGATTTTATTGTCTACTATATTATTTAACTCATTCAGTCTAGTGTGTACTGTGTTAACAAAGACGATGGTCTCTGGGACATATTTTATCATTTCCTTTCTCTGTCCCTTTTCTGACTGTTACCGTCAAGATCGATTTTCCTTCACGGTTTCTAGCGGATGTGTTCCTAAAGATCCGTTCACACAGAGGATTTTGGTGGCTAGAGGGTTGGATGTGTTTATCAAGTTCCTTTCATTGCGGTTTTCATTGATGGTTGGCTTCGGCATCACCAAGGAAAGAGGAGTGGCTAAGGGTCACATGGGATGATATTGCTATGTGGACTGTTCTCATTGGCTAAGATGCTATGGTTAGCCCCTTAGGGTACTTGTTTAATTTTTCTATGAATATCTTATATCGTTTCTTTGCTGCTGAGGAATAATAAAGAAAGAGATAAGCATAATATTAGCCTTTGTGTGCTTTATAAAAGCATGACTTTACGTCATGTAATTAGTAAAATCTGGTAATTTGCGCTATTTGTCTGTTGTTACTGCAATAAAGTACACATATTTGTAAAACAGTACCCCCTCATGTAAAGTTTTTATGATGTCTTGGAAAGTTACAGGGTCAAATATAGCACGTTACATTTTTCAGTTTATACACATTGAAATTTGCGAGGTTATGGTGCCTTTGAGACATTTTGAGACATTTGAAAGCATGCCATATGCAAAAGTAGACAACCAAAGGTATTACAAATGGAGTATATCCAGTCTTTTTTAGTAGCCACTTAGTCACAAACACTGGCCAAAGTTAGCGTTCATATTTGTTTGTGTGTGAAAAATGCCAAAAAAATAATGTGAACAATAATTTTGGCCAGTGTTTGTGGCTACTAAAAAACTGTACATACCCCATTTGTAATACCTTGGGTTGTCTACTTTTGTAAATGGTATGCCATCATGGGGGTAATTCTAATTCCTGGGCTACCCTACGGCCTAAAAGGCAACATAACCAATCTGGCAAATTTCAATGTAAAAAAACAGTAATGCAAGCCTTGTATTTGACTCTGTGACCTTTGAAAGCACTATAAAACCTGTACACGGGGGGTACTGTTATACTCAGGAGACTTTGCTGAACAGAAATATTAGTGTTTCAAAACAATCAAACGTATCACAACAATGATAACGTCAGTGAAAGTGCCGTTTGTGTGTATAAAATGCATAAAATGGCCTTTCATATATATATATATCATCGTTGTGATACGTTTTACTGTTTTGAAACACTCATATTTGTGTTACATTATAAACGTAATTTTATTCTAAGTGTATTTTGATATCTATATATATATTAATATCAAAATACAGTAAGAATGAAATTACGCATGTATATATAATTTTTTTTATTTATTATAATTTTGTACATATATATATATATATATATATATATATATATATATAAAAAATTATAACTATATACACCCTGTTCCAAATTATTATGCAAATTCTGTTTAGGTGTCACAAAGATTAACCCATTAAGGACTGGACTGTTTTTGCGATGTTGTACATTTGCGACCAGGCATATTTTTACACTTTTGTGGTGTTTGTGTTTGGCTGTAATTTTCCGCTTTCTCATTTACTGTTCCCATACAAATTATATATTGTTTTTTTCAGGACAAAAGGGCTTTCTTTACATACCATTATTTATATAATCTCATGTATTTTAATTTAAAAAAAATAAAAAAATATGATGAAAAATTGAAAAAAAATACATGTTTTTGACTTTTACTTGAAAAATCTTTTACTCATCTACAAAAGCGAATGAAAAAAACTGCTAAATAGATTCAAAATTTTGTCCTGAGTTTAAAAATACCTAGTGTTTACGTGCTTTTTTGCTTTTTTTTGCATGTTATAGGGCTATAGGTACAAGTAGGATATTGCGGTTTCAAAACATACATTTTTAAAATTTATCAATAGTGACATTGTAACACTATTATCTGTCATAAATCTCTGAATAACACCCCACATGTACATATTTTTTTTAAAGTAGACAACCCAGGGTATTCAATATGGGGTATGTCCAGTCTTTTTTAGTAGCCACTTAGTCGAAAACACTGGCCAAAGTAAGCATTCATATTTGTTTGTGTGTGAAAAAAGTAAAAACTAAATTGAACGCTAATTTTGGCCAGTGTTTGTGACCAAGTGGTTACTAAAAAAGACTGGACATACCCCATTTGCAATACCTTGGGTTGTCTTCTTTTGCAAATGGTATGCCATCATGGGGGTAATTCTCATTCCTGGGCTACCATACGCTCTCAAAGGCAACGTAACCAACCTGGCCATTTTCAATGTAAAAATATTTGACCCATATATTTGACCTTGTAACTTTCAAAAATGCTATAAAACCTGTACATGGGGGGTACTGTTTTACTCGGGAGACATCGCTGAACACAAATATAGTGTTTAAAAACTGGAAAACGTATCACAACAATTATATCATCAGTAAAAGTGCTGTTTGTGTGTGAAAAATGCAAAAAAAGTAACTTTCACTGACAATATCATCGCTGTGATATGTTTTACCGTTTTGAATCACTAATATTTGTGTTCAGCGAAGTCTCCCGAGTAAAACAGTACCCCCCATGTACAGGTTTTAGGGTGTCGTAGAACGTTACAGGGTAAAATACAGTGCTAGCAAATTCAATTCTCTGGAATTTCGGCCTGGGTTGGCAGGCAGGTCCCTCAAATTGCAATCAATAAAATTACCGAATTATGTAAAAATATTACATAAATACGCACGAATTTAAATATATATGCATATTTATATATTTGAAGTCT